CATATTTTTTTTTCCTCAAATGAAAACCCACAATTTTAAGGATGCTTCTGGTCATAATACTCACATAATCTCTTTTAATCTTCAGTGATCAGCGTTGACTCAAATTCTCTAGAAAGCACTTAAATACCTTCCTTAGTCAAGGTTATGTAATTTATTATGAATTTCCTTTATTTCCCAGTTATATGTAACCTTTGTATTTGGTTAATAGTAAGATTGCATTACTATTAATCTTCTCATCGTTCCTATCACCCATCTCTTCCCACTTATGACTGTATGACTGTAACCTTGTTGCTGGTATCCTTAAGATTTATATTGACTGTTTCCCTAAGACTATCATTAAGTGTTGTACCTTATGATTCCTGATGAATGTATCTTTTCTTTTATGTACACTGAGAGCGTATGCACCAGAGGTGGGTTTCAACAGGTTCTGACCAGTTCTGGAGAACCGGTAGCGGAAATTTTGAGTAGTTCGAGAACCGGTAGTAAAAATTCTGACTGGCCCCGCCCCCATCTATTCTCTGCCTCCCAAGTCCCAGCTGATAGGGAGGAAATGGGGATTTTGCAGTAACCTTCCCCTGGATTGGGGAAGAAATGGAGATTCCTGTGGGAGTAGGAATGGATTTCTAGAGAAAAAATTGCAGACTACAGGAACTATTTGCACCGCTCAGGTGACCCTGACGACACAGATATACCTCCAAGCAGTGGTGGGATTTTTTTCCCTCTAGTCATCAGCTGGGACTCACGGAGGCAGCAATAGATTAGGGGTGGGACCAAATAAAAGGTAAGAAATAACGTGGTGGGTGGGGGGAGGGATGAGGGCGGTGGGAAAACCGGTTTCGTGACATCATATCGTCACTGCTACCGGCTCGGCCGAACCGGACCGAACCAGAGGAACCCACCACTGATTTTGCATCCTTTTAGAGGGTCCTTGAAGCACTGGAGGCAGTGGTGGGATTCAAGTAATTTAACAACTGTTTCCCCCTTCCCTAATGATTTCTTCCAACAACCAGTTTTGCCAAACTGCTCAGAAAGTTAACAACCGGTTCTCCCAAAGTGGTGCGAACCGGCTGAATCCCACACTACTTGGAGGTATATCTGTGTCCGTCAGGGTCACCTGAGCGGTGCAAATAGTTTCTGTAGTCTGCAATTTTTTCCTCTAGAAATCCATTCCTACTCCCACAGGAATCTCCATTCCCTCCCCAATCCAGGGGAAGGTTACTGCAAAATCCCCATTTCCACCCTATCAGCTGGACTTTGGAGGCAGAGAATAATGGGGGCGGGGCCAGTCAGAATTTTTACTACCGGTTCTCCGAACTAAAAGCAAACAAATGAGGCGGGTCGTAAGTGCGAGGGTTGGTCGTAAGTGCGAGGACCTTCCAGAAATGACTCTGGCCAGCTAGCCACACCCACCTAGTCACATGACACCCACAAAATAAGCCACGCCCACAGAACCAGTAGTAAAAAAAATTAGAAGCGAAATGTCTTCAAAAGAAAAAACAAGAAAATCCAGTTGCCTCCTGAAAAGAGCATCTTTGAGACAACTGTAACCCGGATGACGGAGAATCTCTACAGACTTTTATCTTAGCAATGGAAATTTTGGGCCTCAATTGTGGTCACAAGTCAAAAGCTGATCTAACGGAAGTATTTTTTTTTTTTTTTTACGTAAAAATCTGGAATCGGCTTCCCTTGTTTTAAACAACACTGCATTTTCCTCCAGAGATCTAGCTTCGGGTTTTTTTGCATTCGTCACTAGACAATAGAAAAACTACAAATGATGGTAATATCAAGATCCATTTGCCACTTCAGTTGTAAACTATTGTTAACGGCTCTCGGTGGGGTTTCATTTGTAACAGATTTCGAAACAGCACGTGCCGTTTCTGTGCTAGATGTCAGACTGCATCGTGTCTTCCGGAGGGCTAGCCAGAAATTAATGCCGATAGTCCCAATCTATCAAAAAGATTCAGAAGCAGGAGAGAGCATCACTGCTGGTTTCATCGCACGAGGCGAAACTGTATTAACCAGTGATCCTATTCATCTCTGGGACCAGCTCGGCAAGCAGAGTGGTTGCTTAGAACCGTAGGAAGTTAGCACCCAGCCCTCTCCTAGGAAAATGAGGTATTTGAGGAAATATTGAAAGGGCAGAATATTTCCCCTAAAAGGGAGGCAGAAAGTCAGCCTCCCCGTTACATCATCACCCAGCAAGGCTCAACCAAGCCTGGGACACAGACAACCTACGAAGTTACCCCTGCATGGCCCCATGGGAGCCTGACAACCAATCAGGAGACGAGCTCCAATTCAAAGCCAAACAGAGGGTATAAATCTCTCTCTCTCTCTCTCTCTCACTCATATGCTCTTTTTGCCCAGGACCTCAAAACCAGTGGTGGGTTCCTCCCGGTTCGGTCTGGTTCGGCCGAGCCGGTAGCAGTGATGATATGACGTCACCGAACCGGTTCTCCCTGCCGCCCTCCCCATGTTATTCTTACCTTTTATTTGGTCCCACCCCCAATCTATTGCTGCCTCCTGAGTCCCAGCTGATGACTAGAGGGAAAAAAACTGTTTAAACTCTTGCCGCGGGGCTTCAAAGGCCCGTCCTACAGCTGATCAGTGTTAAAAGCAAACAAATGGGTCGGGTCGTAAGTGCGAGGACTGGTCGTAAGTGCGAGGACCTTCCAGAAATGACTCTGACCAGCTAGCCACGCCCACCTAGTCACATGACCTCCAAGCCACACCCACAAAATAAGCCACGCCCACAGAACCGGTAGTAAAAACATTTAGAACCCACCCCTGCTCAAAACCATGTGGAACAACTTGCCTCCAGAAGTTGTGAACGCTCCAACACTAGAAGTTTTTAAGAAGATGTTGGATAACCATTTGTCTGAAGTGGTGTAGGGTTTCCTGTCTAGGCAGGGGGTTGGACTAGAAGACCTCCAAGGTCCCTTCCAACTCTGTTATTCTATTCTAATATTTATGAAAAGCAAGTAAAGGGCTTACCTCAGTGGTGGGATTCAAGTAATTTAACAACCGGTTCTTTGCCCTAATGATTTCTTCCAACAACCAGTTTTTTGTTTTTTTTTAAAATTTGATTTATATGCCGCCCTTCTCCGGAGACTCAGGGCTGCTTACAATGTGCTAAGCAATAGCCTTCATCCTTTTGTATATTTTATACAAAGTCAGCTTATTGCCCCCACAAACTGGGTCCTCAATTTACCTACCTTAGAAAGGATGGAAGGCTGAGTCAACCTTGAGCCTGGCGAGATTCGAACCTGCAGTAATTGCAGGCAGCTGGTCTTAATAACAGGGTGCTTTAGACCACCGTACTACCAAGGCTCCTTAGCAGTTTGCCAAACTGCTTAGAAAATTAACAACCGGTTCTCCCGTACTTGTGCGAACCGGCTGAATTCCACCACTGGATTACCTAATGAATTCAATTTAGAACTGGAGAGAAACGCTGGACTTAGAACCGTTCATTTAGTGACGGTTCAAAGTTACAACGGCATTGAAAAGAAAAGTGACTCTTGGTCCTTTTTCTATACTTACGACCCTTGCAGTCAACCCATGGTCAAAATCCGGGTACTTTAGAACTGGCCTGTATTTATGATGGCTGTAGTGTACCGGGGTGATTTAGCGACTTTCCGGTAAGCAAAGTCGTATGGAGAAGTCCCCGTCTTTTGCTTTTCCTTGGAAGTCGCTTCGCTTCTCATCCAAGAGGTTTCTTCGTTCAGAACGCAGAGCCTTGGTAGTACAGTGGTCTAAGGCACCCTGTTATTAAGCTGGTTATTAAGACCAGCTGCCTGCAATCACTGCAGGTTCGAATCTCGCCAAGGCTCAAGGTCGACTCAGCCTTCCATCCTTTCTAAGGTAGGTAAATTGAGGACCCAGTTTGTGGGGGCAATAAGCTGACTTTGTATAAATATACAAAAAGGATGAAGGCTATTGCTGAGCACATTGTAAGCCACCCTGAGTCTCCGGAGAAGGGCGGCATATAAATCAAATTAAAAAAAAAAGAAGAACGGAAGAAGCTTCTCGGATGAGCAGCGAAAGGTCTTCAAGGAAAAACCAAGAAAGTGGTTGAGTGAGAAGCGAAACGTGAGAAAAAAACCAAGAAAGTCCAAAAGTCCAGTTCAGTGGTGGGTTGTTATTGGTTCGCCCCAGTTCAGGCGAACTGGTAGTGGCGGCGGGGGGGGGGGGGGGCCCCCCCCCCCTGCCCAGACATCATCAAAAATGCTTTTCGCATGTGCAGGACCGTCTACACATGTGCAGAAGCGCCACGTGCTCGCGAAACAAGCACGGGCACCCACACGCTCCCGATAGCGAACTGGTAGCGCCGAGGTTTGAAATCTGCTACTGGTCCAATTGCCTCTTGCAAAAAAGCTCCTTTGGGAAAACCATTGGCCTGGATGACTGAGAATCTCCATAGACACTTCTTGTGACGAACCAAGTCATTTGGTTCTCGTCCTAGAGTTAGCTCAGAAGAACAATATTGACCGAAGCGATGTCCCAGTGGTGCTTTTTCAAGAGTCAATTGGATTGTCTTTGTTTTTCCTTGAAGACGTTTCGCTTCTCGTCCATTTTTTTTATTTTTTTTAAATCTGATTTATATGCCGCCCTTCTCCGGAGACTCAGGGCGGCTTACAGTGCGTTAAGCAATAGCCTTCATACTTTTGTATATTTTTAATACAAAGTCAGCTTATTGCCCCCACAAACTAGGCCCTCAATTTACCTACCTTAGAAAGGATGGAAGGCTGAGTCGACCTTGAGCCTGGTGAGATTCGAACTTACAGTAATTGCAGACAGCTGGTGTTAAATTACGGTGCTTAGTCTGCAGAGCTATCCATTCAGTCAGAACTGAAGAAGCTTCTCGGATGAGAAGCGAAATGTCTTCAAGGGAAAAAAAACCCAAGGAAGTCCAGTTGCCTCTCGAAAAAAAAGCACCTTTTGGACAACTGTGACCTGGATGGTTGTAGAACCTCCACAGACATTGTCCCCAAAAGTGAGCTTACCTTTGTTTTCCAACTTCAGCTCTTCTGCTAGTAAGCTGTCCTGCCTATTGCCGAGTACAAATGCCAGAAACGAGAGGATCATGGCATCCAAGATGCCAATAATGGCTAAGATGTAAGCCCAGCGGATCGAACAAGCTCCCAGGGTGTACTTGTCTGTCTTCTCACCGCACATCCGCTTCACTTCTTTGGCATCCCAACCGTCGGGATAAATCATACAGCCGAGGATAAGGCAGGCAGCTGGGAGGATAAAAAGTGCAAGGGGGAGGGAGGAGGAGGAGGAGGAAGGAGGAGGAGGAGGAAGAGGAGGAGAAGGAGGAGGAAGAGGAGGCAGAAGAAGAGGAGGAAGAGGAGGAGGAGGC